TTGTCAACAAAGGAAACAAACTGAATATTATTTCAACTACTAGGCCACTGCAACTATTGCATTTAGACTTATTTAGTCTTATTGACACTTATAGTTTGAGTGGTAAGAGATATACCTTGGTCATTGTTGATGATTACACTAGATTCACATGGACATTGTTTCTTACACATAAAAATAATACTCTATGAGTTGTTAAATATTTGTAAGAAAGTGTAACATGAAAAAGGCTTTATGATTTGATGCATTAAAAGTGATCATGGAGGAGAATTTGAAAATCATGACATGAAAGCATTTTGTGAAGAGCATGGCATTGAGCATAATTTTTCTTCTCCTAGAACTTCACAACAAAATGGGGTTGTTGAGAGAAAGAACAAGACTCTACAAGAAATGGCAAAAACTATGTTGTGTGAAGGTTATTTACCCAAATACTTGTGGGTTGAGGCTGTTAAGGCTCTTAACATCTTTAGTTATGTTCTAAATAGAGTTCTCATTGGGCTTATACTCAATAAGACTCCATATGAGTTATGGAAGGGTAGAAAGCTTAATATTTCATATTTTCATGCATTTGGATGTAGGTGTTTTATTTTGAACAATGGTAAGAGCTCACTTAGCAAGTTTGGTCCAAAGAGTGATGAAGGTATTTTTCTTAGCTATTATTTAGCTAGTAAGGCATATAGAGTTTATAACAAAACAACTCTAGTTGTTGAAGAGTCTATTCATGTTACTTTTGATGAAACAAGTCTAACCTTGAGAAAGGACAATTTTGATGATGATGCAAGCAAGCTTGGAGATAAAATGGAGCAACCCAAATGTGAAGGTAAACTAGACTAAGAAGAAAAACCAAAATAAGAAAAAAAAAAACAAAAAAAACAAAATAAGAAGATGAAATAACTAAGGACCATGAGCTACCAATGGATTGGAAGTTCAAAAAGGACCATCCAAAGGAGCAAATCATAAGAGATATAGAATAGGGAGTATTTACTAGATCTCAACCTCATTTTCATACTAATTATGCCTTTATATCCCAAATTGAGCCCAAGGGTGTGAATGACGCCCTAAATGATGAAAATTGGATCATGGCAATGCAAGAAGAACTAAACCAATTCCAAAGAAATAAGATTTGGACTCTTGTACTAAGACCCAATGATTATCCTATCATTGGGACAAAATGGGTTTTAGAAACAAACTTGATGAGAATGGTGATGTGATCAAGAATAAAGCCAGGTTAATTGCTAAAGGATATAGCCAGGAGGAAAGAATTGACTATGATGAAACATACACACCTGTAGCAAGATTGGAAGCAATTCAAATGCTAAGCGCATTTATAGCTCACATGAACATAAAATTTTATCAAATGGATGTAAAAAGTAGCATTCCTCAATGGTTACATCAAG